TGTACACACACACAACGAGTTATATTTCAAGCATTTGTCTTTAAAAGCTTTTAGTTCTTATATTGTAGACACATGCAACCGTGTGGTCTCCATTATATACTAAAACTTTAGTCTTGTCATCTTATGACATGATTCCATTCAATATTTAATTCAACGACCCATAATATACTTTACAATCCAAAATCATGAACAAAGATGCACAAGTTCATCTTATGTGTCAATAGTATATTATGTACTTGTATACACAGACATCATTGGAGATTTCACCCTAACAATTCAATTTAACATCAGTAAACTTTCATGCATACCTGACTGATCAACAAGTTAACACAAATGGGTCTGTTCATAATTTCAATCGTGAATATTACTGCTGACTATATATTAAAGTCCAAGCAGGTGGAGGCACAAGAACATAAACCTACGTTAGCAAGTTTCTAATCAACCAACTATGATAATAAAATCAGTGGACACCGACTAAAATATTATCGTGCCCCTAGTTTAGCAGGATTCCTTCGTGCCCACAAATTCAAATAATATATAATATATAATATACTTTCAATTCTTTCATCTTGATTTTTATAGAAGAAATCCTAACCCTAATCATGACTCTGATACCAATTGTTGGGTTTTAATCAAATAATTTACATATAAAAATCAAGAACACTACAATTAATTAAATAGATAATTTAGCATACCTGAATGATGATTACTACACATATAAATTTAGATTTTGGATGATAGCCCTAGGATTGTTTGTGATCCTGCAAAACATTAGAGTGTTTTACCCCCTTCTAAGAGTTGTCCTTCAATAGGGCTAAGGGTTTTAAAACTCTTATATATAACAACAGCAGGGGAACGGCTTCTCTACAAATACAAATAAACATATCTAAGTCTCCATTCCCATCATGAAAATTTAAATATAAATTGTTAGAATTAAATTATACCAAATAAGTTGGAAAACCACAATTCAACGTTATAAACCATACTCTCAATTAGACCACCAAATTGGGGAGTACAACCCAATCCATCAAGTATCAATAATCACATTACAATCCTATTTTAAAAAACGTAATGCATATGACCATAAAATAATTTTTATTATTTATATATAAAAATTTCCGACATATCACTCTCTAATCTTATGCTTGCTGTAACTACACCACATCTATTTTGCTTTAATACACCACATCTATTTTGCTTTAATAATAGTTCCTGTTCTGTTAATATTAAATTATTGATCTTTAACCATCAAAATCCTTGTTAGAAACTATTAGCATGGTACGACCAATTAACACTTATCCTTTATCCTTTATATAGGCATCCACCAATGAAAAATTCCAGAATATATCTTACATTATTATTCAGGAAAAATATGCATCTTACATTATTTATACAACCTACAAAACTCCATAATAATCTAACATATTCTACATGCTAAAATAATGCACACAATCCTATACAACTCTACGCAATTATAGAATTCTTTGAGTATAAAATTAGTGTCTTTTAACTCTGCATAATTATAGGATTCGCTAGTTATGTTTGGGAACACTTAATCAGTGCTTTGGAATTGAAATTAAGGTTGTATTCGGCTACATAAAATTAAAGTCTTGAAATTAAAATTAGTGGAATTTGAAAAAAAATTAATTAAATTTCTAAGTTATTTTTTCCAAATTTTACCAATTCTAATTTCAAAGTTTTAATTTTACACCACCGAACATAACCTTAGTTTAAACTTTAAACTAAATTACCTTCAATTCAATTCTAAATCGCCTATTCGGTGCTCCAAACACAACTTATGTTCGGAATTAGCGATTTGAAATTAGAAATGGGGAAAATATTAATTTATACTTTGAACTAAATTTTTTCTAATTTCAATTCTAATGCACCAAATTTGCTATTTTTTTTTTTTTTTTTTTTTTTTTTTTTTTTTTGGGGTAAGTTAATTCAACTGCATTGCTTCTTCATCAAGACTACTTGTTTGAACAATAATATTTAATAGATAATATAACTAATTTCATCTTTGTTGAAAATGGATCATTATGCTGATCTGGATTAATTACTTAATTGATAAGGATCTTGAAGCCATCGTCATGAAAAAAGAAGGATTTGAGCAAGTTGGACTAGGAAATATATATACATTTTTCATATACCACCCAACCAATATTTTTTTTTTATAAGCATCACTGTCTGTAATTCTAATTTTTTAGAGCAAATATGGATTACTAAAATATTATATTAATCTTGTAATTAAATTTCATAAAGTCATCAACTCTCGTCCCTTCATTTGTCATGCGCGTACATAAAGCTAATGTGCCAAGGATAGGGACTTTTTTAAAACTATAATTTAAATAATGGATAGGGGCAAAAGCTATTGGACATATGGTTGGAGTACTTGATTAATTAGACTAATCAATTATTAATTTAATCACCATTGAGTTAATTAAAAAAGAAAAGAAAAGAGAGAGAGAGAAAGACATCATAAACTAAAATTAAAGTGATATATTGAGTGAATTTTTTTAAAAATTATAATATATCATTATTTATTTTTTTTTTAATTAGATACCTATGAAATTTTCACTTTGCCACCATCCCTGAAATTACAAAAAAAAAAAAAAAATTATTAAAATCATCCCTGATTGAGTATACAATTAACTATTTGATATTATTTGTATAGATCTAATTTCGATATTATATACATAATAAATTATACTCGCAAGCAAAGTCATACTCTTCTCTCTCTCTCTCTCTCTCTCTCTCTCTAAGTTATAATGTAGATGATGTTATCTTGCCTCAATCAAGGTCCCTTTCCTGTTATTTTAAACACAAAAGTATCGTTTTTACCGTTCGTATTTGTCTTGCTGTTCAAGTAGTTTGATCTACTCTTTTATATCTATCTTTCGTGGTTGACTTTTGGTTTGATAATTGGCCAAAGGATGGGTTGACTTTTTATCTTATTAGCCAAGTGATTGTAACATGGATAGAGCCATAAACTTTCAAGACATTGTATCATATTACAAATTTATAACACTTCTATAAATATACATATACTTTACATTTTTAAAGATATTAAAAGTGTTTTAAATTATCTCAATAACCATTAGTTTTTTCTTTCTTTCTTAATAACCATTAGTGACAATCACCACTAATGGTTATAACTTACTCATTCATTTAATTATAAAAAATTAAATTATAAAAATTTTCCCCACTAAATCCCTAAAAAATATTTACAAACGGCCTTGAGAAAACCTTTCTTTTTTTTTTTTTCTTTTTTTTTTGTTTATATTTAAAACAACCTCATTTTTTAAGTCATTGAACGACATTATTTTCAAAATTAAAAAATTAAAAATGTCTTTTCTCGTTCAGTAGGCCTCCCAAAATTTTTAAGAATCAAAATTCAGGAATAATTCCTTTTTTTCTTATTTATTATTTTGATTCAAATTTTCTTAGCATATTATTGTAAGTGATTGCTGCCTAGTAAATTCCATTATTTGTACAAACTACTAAGTCACAATTGGACAATTCGAGAACAATTTTACGTACTAATAATGAATTATTTGTTCTCCTGTATGATAAATATGTCATTATCAACCATAACGAACACAATGATGCAATATCTTTAGCTGGTCAAAACTCCCGATTTTAAAAGTCTATTTGTAAGATATTGAATCAATTTGTATTTTTTATTTTTTATTTTTATAATTTAAATCTTTTCTTTTCTTGGGAGAGGAGGCTACAATTACTAGCGATATAACTTCAAGCAAGTGGTCTGCAGCAACGTCCACTCCCTCGGTCTCTCTCTCTCGAATAAATATTTCAGATTCATTAAAAAAAGAACAAACTTTAATAATCTAAAATACTAAAATCTAGAAGAAGACTTCATATCAATGTGTGTCAGTGTGTGTGTGTGTGTGCGTGTGTATATATATATATATTTATATATATAGCTTGTTTCTGTCTCTCTCAACATTCCCATTGTTCTAGTTTGGAACAGAGTTGAGTTTGTTCATCAATATGGCTCAGTTGGTGGGTAATGAAGAGATAGAATCACTGAGAATCGAGCTGACAGAGTTAGGAAGAAGTCTAAGAAGATCATTTCGGCGTCAAACATCTAGTTATCGAGGCAGTTCTAGTTTTGGTTCTGTAAAGGGTGATGAGGTTGGTGATGAATGCACATTGCAATGGGCCGAGATTGATAGATTACCCACTTTTGAACGGTTGAGATCATCTCTGTTTGATCAAGAATATGATGAAAATGGGGTTCAAGGCAAAAGGGTGATAGATGTCACCAAGCTTGGTGCTCTTGAACGCCATCTGTTCATTGAAAGGCTTATTAAACACATTGAGAATGACAATCTTCGCTTGTTGCACAAATTCAGAAAAAGAATAGACAAGTAAGTGTTATCTTCCTCTTTGTAGTTTGTACCCAATACTTTATACACACACACACATACATGCATAAGAATCTTGAACTGCGTCTACACAGTTACTTGCTGTCATGACCCTTGTGCACGTTCTCCATTTTGGGATGGGGATCTGCTAATATCTGTTACAACTCGCCCCGCCTTGCACTGTATAGATATTGTCTATTTTGAATATCATGGTTCTCAAAACGCGTCTGTTAGAAGGCATCTATTAATATAAGTGTGAACAACCTTTCTCGAGATGACGTGGGACATCACAAGAGGGGAGTCAAAATTTTTGATTTGAGGCGGAACTAGTACTGTGTAATCAAATTTTGAAAAATTTATAAATCAATCGTATCATTATTTTTAGGAAAAAGTGCAAAAAACCCCTTTGAACTATTAGGGTTTTGCAACTAATTCCCTTGAATTACATAAAACCTCCTTCAACTAACAAATTTTTGCATTTAACCCCCTTGAATTAACAATATGGTGCCGGAAAAGCAAAAGACAACATTACCCTCAATTAAAACGACACAGTTTGAAGAATTATACAAGCATTGATATATACATATATATATTTAGAGAGAGAGAGAGAGAGAGAGAGAGAAGAAGGGATAGATGGTCGGCCGTGGATGATGGCGACGACGACGAGCTCGGATCCGAAGCCCTCTCCTCCGACGCCCACCGCCTCTCTGCCCTGCGCCGCCGTAAAACCCCCCAACTCCCCCTCATCTCTGGCGCTCCACCGGTTCGGGTACTTCGTCGATCTCAGCCTTGGTACCCTTTCCCAGCGCCTTCTCCTCGTTGCGTACACCTGCAGCAACCTCGTCTGAAAACACGAGATGGATTGTTTGGCGCAAGATGTCCCATCCAAATCCCATTTTGACTCAACAAAGCTTTTTCCCAATCGGATTTTGGGTTTAGGGGCTGATAGTGGACGGACCCTTAATTGGGGATGAGAAAGATGAAACCAGACAAGACCCGTCGTCGACCCAAATCCGGCAGGCGCAGAACATGATAAGTTGGAGTTTTTACGTTGCCGGAGGTGGAATTTACCGGTGACCACGAGTATGGAGATGCGTGGTCATTGACCGTGATACGTGAATTAGTTGTAACTGTTTGTTATTCAACAATGTCTAGTGTTGAAGATCCAAATACTGATATTACAAACAACAATATATTGATTGCAGGGAGTAAATAATTTAGAAAAATTTAAGCGAACTATGTCGTAACTCAATTATTCTGATTTTTATAAACATTGAAAATTATTAATCTAATTTTTAATTTGTAGTCTTTTTTATTAATTTTTAAGCGATGGTCGGCTGTGATGAGGAACTGCAGTGGGCAAGGTAGCGAGGATGGAACTGATGGCGGTTCGCGGCGGCGTGACTGGCGCAGTGGTGGGCGACGGCTGGTGCAGCGGTGAGCGACGGGCTCGGCTGTGGCCGGGGAGCAAGGGGGCTTCGGACGGCGGCCGGCGGCCGGCGAGCAAGAGAATACACAACTATCTCCATTAATACCGGTGAGCTTCATACTACAGCAACAATTCACCCACCACCACTCTCACCACTGCTCTCAGCAACAGCTTCATACTACAACCTCCACCATCCTCATCGACGCCGCCATACCCAATTTCCCAACCTCCGCCTGTTACCTAATTGAAGACAACCCAAAAAAAAACCACACCTTCAATTTCACCCACCACCACTTACCACTGCCCTTGATTTCACCCACCACCAGTCTCACCTCACCACTGCCCTCCATCTCTCTTTCTTCTTTCTCTCTCAAGTGTCACGCGCTCAAAGGGGTGAGAGGCATCGATGAGGTTAATGATGGTGGAGATGTTTCGAGAGGTTTGGACACAGACTAGGACTCAAAGCTCAGTGTCTAGTTTGGATCTTTGAATTGTTCTGCGTTTGATTCTTTTGGCTTGTCTGTAGATTGTGGTAATGGGTGTAATGATTCTGATCACGACCATTGGTACAATCACCAAATTTACAAATTATTCACCATCTACATATTTCAATGTAAGAGAAATTTTATACTGATCAAAATTCTTTTCCACTGAAACATTTGATTTCTTTAATTGGTTCAAGAAGTTTGACTTTATATGTATATATTACTTCTTGATGAACTTTGATAAATGTGATCTCGTATGATTGAATAAAGTTCTACAGTGAACATAAATTTTGGAGAAGATGAACAGTAATTTGTAACTACACGTGTGTGTTTATATATAGACATAAGGATAAGGACGTGTTTAAAGGGTGTTTGGGTTTAATTGTTTCAATAATAAGGGGTTTTAGTGTCTTTTCAACCTCATAAAGATATTATGGTCATTAAAATTATAGTGTATACCGGAACAGTGATGGATCCGACCCAAACAGTGATGGATTCGACCGGAACAGTGATGGATGGAGTGATCTGCAACAAATTTGTATAGTTGAGGAGGTTTTATGCAATTTTGATAGTTTAGGGAGTTAATTGCAAGTTTCTCAATAGTATAAGGGGGTTTTTTGCACTTTTCCCTTATTTTTAAGATACAGAGATTGACTCTATATCACTGTGCGCGCGCGCGCGCATGTACATAAGAATCTTGAAGTGCACAGTGTGTGTATATATGCATAAGAATCTTGAAGTGCACATACATCTGCATATACTTGTATGTATTGTCATCCATGTATAACATTTACTGGCATTGATGGTTCAACTTCTCTGAACCAGGCAATGAAGTTTATGGTCTTGAATTTTGACTTGTTATAGTACAATCACACTTTTAATTGTTACTTAAATTTTTAACAACTCATATGTGCTAATGGCTCACTGTTTCATCTCTAATTTTCTCTACACATAATCTACCATCAATTTGACTATTTAATGAAATGTATAAATGAACTGATTTTTGTAGAGTTGGTGTGAAATTGCCCACTGTGGAGGTGAGGTATAAGAATCTGGTTGTGGAAGCAGAGTGTGAGGTAGTTCATGGCAAGCCCCTACCGACCTTATGGAATTCTCTCAAAGGCATGTTTTTCGTAAGTATTTCCATTTTCTTGAATTAATTTTAAAGCTTAATCAATAATTGTATGCATATTTGCTCGGGGATGAGACATTTATTATCTGGCAGAGCATTTGAGTTCAGCTTAGGGTTTTAATTTATACGAGTTGGAAATAAACATTTTGTGTATAATCAATCAGTCTGCCAAAAGGAAAACATGATATATCTTTCGTCTCACTTGCCATTTGGTTGCAATTTTGATAAGTTTTTCGATGTTTCATATACATTGTATCCAAAAGCAATCTTTAGTATGATAGCAGCTCCTTGATTTTGCTTATAAATTTCTAATGTTTGGAACATTTTGTTTAACAGGACTTTGTCAAGCTGCCTGGTTTAAAGTCGCAAGAGGCTAAGATAAGCATCATCAATGATGTCAGTGGCATTATAAAAACTGGAAGGTGGGAAATCAAAGCTTTTCTTAATTAACTCGATTATTTATTATTTGTTTATTTTTTAATTGCAGGTCATCATGTCCCTTCTTACAGCCTCATCTTACGATATGTATATATATATATATATATATATATATATATAATTTCCTGTTTTCTCAGTAGCATCCTTAACTTGATTCAAAATGCTTCATATACCAGTGAATGTATATATATATATTTAATTTCCTGTTTTCTCATTAGCATCCTTAACTTGATTCAAAATGCTTCATATACCAGTGAATGTTTGCTAATTGGTTTTTGTGGCATTTCACCAGCCCTTGCAGCAAGTTTTTCCCATCTGACCACAATCTTGCACCATAAAAAATGACAGGCCTGATGGTCAGTAATGTGTTCTCTTTAAATTGGATAATCATTTTTAATCACATAGAATTCAGAAAGTTCAAAGCTTTTTAGGTGACTCAGGTCAATTTTAACTCCTTTATCACGAGGAATTAGACTAATTATGCTTTAACTGTGGCAATACTAATTTTTTTTCTTTAAATTGGAAAGTCCGTTGTTCTTCGGTCCATCCTTACCCTTCTCGAAATGAGAAATTAAATCCAGTTGAATAATTTTAGCTACTGTTGGACATTTTAATCCTTTATACTTCTGTATGCATGGTTCAACTTCATCCATCAAAATTGCATATTTGAGGAGTTTTACTCATCTCAAATTCTCAACCAAAGTTCGTTATGCTATAGAAGTACCAATTTAGTTCTTTATTTTTTTTGTGTGTACAAGTAGACGTTTGCCTTGAAATGGTTTCCTATTTCTCTGTTTCGTTTCTGAGAGGAAAATTCTTCTTCTTGAAGTTCTCTAAGCAAGAAAAATGGAATCCTTTTCATTAAGTTTTTTTTTTTTTTTTTTTTTTTTTTTTTTTTGGCAGAGTTCTGGTTTTTTAATAGTTTACGCATTATTTCATTTTATTTATTCATTTTGCAGAATGACTCTACTGCTTGGTCCTCCAAGTTGTGGAAAGACAACTTTACTAAAAGCACTTTCCGGAAATCTAGACAAATCTCTCAAGGTTTCTCCAGTTTTTTATGCTTCATTTTCTTGTAACTTTGTGAAAGATCTAATCGTCTGATACAAACATTAGTCTGAATCAGATAATGATACTGCAAAATAAGTTATAGAGCAAATCTGCACAATTGAATACACAAAATAAGCTCAAAGGGTACTTGTTTAGACCTTAAAAGAAATTGGATTTAGTTATAGAGCAAATCTTACTTACATTTTTCTATGTTTAGTTAGCACTACTTTTTTCTCATAAAAGAAATTGGATTAAACTGTCTCTGTCTTGCATATGATCCCAAGCATCTGACATGCAAATTATGCTAAGAATGTGTCACTTATTCTTGATTCCAGCGTTATAAAAGTTCTCTCTTCTATATGTATATTTATATATTAAAATATGTGTATCCTTTTTCATGTTTTTTTATCTAAAGGTACTTTTCTTGTAAAAATTGGATTCTGTTGCTCCCATTTGTACATGCTTACAAACACTGACCAAATCTTTTCTACCTTCTGAAATAATTTAAGGTAGAAAAGATTACCACCCTAATACGATTGAATACTTTACTACAGTGCTTGCAGTGTGAGTATAAGTAAACATTATACTTTTTTTTTCTTTTTCTATTTTTTTTTTTTTTTTTTTTTTTTGCTAGTGTAATTTCAACATTATACATAATTTTAATGGAATCTCATCTTTTGTTTAAATCAGTCATCAGAAGCTACTTTAATATGTATCTCCTACCCTTTAACATGGTTTTTGTCTGTGTTTTCCTAACAGGTTACTGGGGAAGTTTCTTACAACGGATACAAACTGGAAGAGTTTGTCCCCCAGAAAACATCTGCTTATATTAGCCAGTATGACCTACACATCCCTGAGATGACTGTTAGAGAAACACTTGATTTTTCAGCCCGCTGCCAGGGTGTTGGAAGCCGAACAGGTATACTTAGTTTGATGAGGGCAAAACTCAGATTGTTTTAGTTGCGGACACCTTATTAAGGTATTTTCGTAAATAAACTAACTTGTTTTCTGCCTGAAAAGAGATTATGATTGAGGTCAGCAGAAGGGAGAAGCAGGCTGGAATTGTTCCAGATCCAGACATAGATACTTATATGAAGGTACTTTTAGAATCTCTGATCTTCTGTCTTTCCATGTTTGTGGATTTGTCTTTATGTTTCATAAGGGATAGAATCTGCCATAGTCTGGAATATTTGTTGTTTGTTGGAAATGATTATTAGAATATTTTCCTTTGTATGTGCGGCATTTCTGATCAAAGGTTTGGCTATGTATTAAAAAAATACTACTTTGAATGACATGCTTTTTTTGTTACTTCTTACAAGAAGCTTGAAATCAACTTCTACTTGAGTTTCTATAATTATAATTTCCAACTATAATGACAGAATATTGGACTACTTCAGAAAAAGGATTCGATGAAAACTTGCAAGCTATTCAACTGAAAAATAAAGAATTGCCGATCATCTATGAGAGAACCTTTTCTTGATTATTCTATCAGCACAAACAGAACAGAGTAACCGATAGAGCACAAATGTGTTCTCCATAATATTTTAATTAGGAGTAAATTACAGATTGAAGGAGAAAACAAGATTGTTGTACGTGCTTCATAAATCTACGTGATTCTGTTGATGGGAACTTCTTTAATTGGTGCATGCCAAAATTTTATGATATGAATCAAAGCATAATGCTGATCTCCAACTGAGTCTTTTGTTTTGGAATTTGTTAACCCATGAAATATTTAAAATTGGTTCAGATTTTTTGGTGTATCTAAGGGTAATTTGTTGCATTAATAGTGACTATGAATCTAAATCACTGTAATAGTGACTATGAATAAATCTAAAAAGCGAAATGAAGCACATTATCGTGCTGGCATCTAACGCTTTTTTGTTGGGAATTTAATTGGTCTTAAAAATCCAATCCTCAAAAAAATATGATGCATTAAAGGCTTTGAGTACTTGAAATCACTTCAACTCAAAACGAATGCAATTTGGAATGCTAGTTGATGCAAATCACTGTGCAGCACATACAGGTATTTATAACATTCCTAGTATGCAGTTGGTGCAGTGTTGTCAAAGGTGCGCCTAGGCTCCATGCTCATACAGGCATAACACTTACGCCCGTTGTGTGCCAAGCGCGCCTTTGACAACACTTGTGCCTTTAATATAGAAATTGAATGCTTTAATAGTAATTTAATTTTTCAATTGTGTGCCTCACTTCACTGAGGCGTGAGCCTCACCTTGGGCCTAGGCTCCAAAGGACCTCTAGCGCCTTAGTGCACCTTGGGCCTTGGTTAACACTGAGTTGGTGAGCATACGTATTGTGATTTTATAACTATCCTTTGTTTTAACAGGCAATTACAGTTGAAGGACTGAAGAGAACCCTTCAGACAGACTACATTTTAAAAGTAACTCTCTTTTAGCAGAACTGATAATGAGGTTCTTCTTTATATGTCACATACGGACAAATGCTATGCTTGTTGATGATTTCCCCATTTTTGCCATGATTTCAGATTCTTGGACTCGATATATGTGCTGACACGATGGTGGGAGATGCCATGAGAAGAGGTATCTCTGGTGGTCAGAAGAAAAGATTAACTACAGGTAGTCTGAATGCATAAGTCTGACTATTAGCAGATAGTATTACTCACCTACTACAACATACTTGGCACTGGTATATTGGAAATTAATCCGCAATATCTGCCAATCTTTTGATTCCAAGGACTTGAACTGAATATTATGATATGTGTGTGTGTGTGTGTGTATATATATATATATATCGTTTAATTTTGTATATATTCTTGAAGAATCAGTTTTATTGGTTTCATGCAGGGGAGATGATCGTAGGTCCCACAAAAGCTTTGTTTATGGATGAAATATCAAATGGATTAGACAGTTCCACCACATATCAGATTGTCGCTTGCCTCCAACAGCTGGCACATATCACAGATGCTACTATACTTGTGTCACTTCTTCAGCCAGCACCGGAAACCTTTGAACTATTTGATGACATTATACTGATGGCCGAAGGAAAGATTGTGTATCATGGATATCGTAGTCATGTTTTAGATTTTTTTTATGATTGCGGGTTTAGGTGTCCTGAAAGGAAAGGGGTAGCTGACTTTCTCCAGGAAGTAAGTTCATCATGACTCATTTTAGTTCCTTTTTGTGCTCTTATATCTTCAAGGTGGTAAAACTTAAATATTAATATCCTGGCAGGTTATATCAATGAAAGATCAAGCCCAATATTGGCACCGGACTGAACAAACTCACAGTTTTGTTTCTGTCGATATGTTCTCTAGGAAATTCAAGGAATCTCCTTTCGGGAAGAAGCTAGATGAGGAGCTCTCCAAGCCATTCATGAAGTCTGAAAACCATAAGGATGCAATTTCTTTTAGCATGTATTCTCTTCCTAAATGGGCACTCTTTAGAGCATGCATGTCAAGGGAATTTCTTCTCATGAGAAGGAATTCTTTTATTTATGTATTCAAATCAATTCAGGTTGTGATCAGTACTTTCTTGTTCTTTCTTCACTACCACTTCTAAATCCCTACCTGCTAAAATTCATACTTTATTCATTCATGCTCTATTAATCTTAAATTGTTGATCTTATGTGATCAGTTCTGTGTTTAAGCCCTTTGATAATAGAAGAATGTCTTCTTTGCAGCTTGTCATAATCGCATCTATCACGATGACTGTATTTTTGCGAACTCGGATGAGCATTGATATTGCTCATGCAAACTATTTCTTGGGTGCTCTGTTCTATGCTCTCCTCATTCTTCTAGTTGATGGATTCCCGGAGTTGTCAATGACTGTTGCAAGACTTGCAGTATTCCATAAACAGAAAGAGTTGTACTTCTACCCAGCTTGGGCCTATGCAATTCCAGCCGCCATTCTCAAGGTTCCACTTTCATTGTTGGAAGCTCTAATTTGGACATGTCTAACTTATTATGTCATTGGATACAGTCCTGAGGCTGGCAGGTGAGTGTCACATAACAAGGCTTTAACTTTATCATTCCTCGGATAGTTGATTTTGTTTTTCTTCAGACACGCACACATTTTTGAACTAACTGGAAATGTTGAATTAACTTCTAACATTGGCTGTGCTTCTAGGTTTTTCCGGCAGTTCATTCTACTTTTTGCAATGCACTTAACATCATTATCCATGTTCCGTTTCTTGGCATCAGTCTGCCAGACTGTGGTTGCTTCTACAACGGCTGGTAGTTTGTCGATATTATTTGTCTTATTATTTGGTGGTTTCATTATTCCAAAATGTAAGTTTTCGGTAACTCCTTCCGATTTGATTCAAGTATAATGACCTAAAGATTGAACTTAAGCTGTGTTGTTGGTTGCAGCCTCTATGCCAGCATGGTTGAAGTGGGGTTTCTGGTTATGCCCACTTACATATGGTGAGATAGGCCTTGCTGTAAATGAATTTCGTGCACCACGATGGCAAAAGGTGAATGTCTAAAATGTGGGTCATTGGTCTGTGTGAGAAAATACACGTTGAAACTCAACTGTCTAACTTAAACATACCACCTTTTTCAGTGATTTCTCTCTTTAATTTTATATCACTGATCTTCACCAAGTCATCAACAATATTTGTATAACTAATTGGACAGGCAATATGAATCCATTTCTCGATTTCACTAATCAAGAATGACAGTTCTCGTTAGATTGTGCATCTAATTACATATTCTCAAGAACTTATTCACTTATGAATGTATGTCACAGAAATTTTTTATTTATAGTTTGAATGAATCATCCGAAGAAATGGTTATGCGCTGCTCTCTTACTCTCGTCGTTATGCGCTGCTCTCTTACTCTCGTCTTTGTTCTTTCATGCAGATGTTGACTACAAACACAACAATTGGACAAGAAACACTTGAAATCCGTGGGCTAAACTTCAATGAATACTATTTTTGGATATCACTTGGTGCCTTATTTGGGTTTGCAATAATTTTCAACATTGGTTTTACCTTGGCCTTAAGTTTCTTAAAGCGTAAGTTCATCTTTGTAATGTAAAATTCAACTTGAAAATTGGCAAAACTTTATTCATATTTCAAGATGCATCCAGCTCCTGGTTCTCGGACTATTATCTCAAATGAAAAGCTGTCTCAATTACGTGGAAGTGGAGATTCCTTTAGTAGTGCCCGTGTGGAAGAAAACTCCGACAATTCTCATCCTAAGACTATTACAGAACCTCATAAAGGTTGGGAATATTTTTCTCTTCTTTCCCGTTCTTATAATTCTTCTGGCCTTGCTTTATATCACCTGCTTATTTGTTATAAATAATTTTTTGCTGCAATTAACTAAGGATGTCTTATCTCGTTTTGTAGGCAGAATGGTCTTACCTTTTGAACCCCTAACAGTAGTGTTTCAAGATGTGCAATACTATATTGACAGCCCTCCGGTAATCACAGAAATCAATATCATATAAATCTTAAATTGCTGTTCAGATTACATTAGGTAGTTATATCATATTTTGGTTTCAGCAAATGCGAGAACTGGGCTTCACTCAGAAAAAACTCCAACTTCTTTGTGACATTACGGGTGCATTCAGGCCTGGTGTTCTTACAGCATTAATGGGTGTCAGTGGTGCTGGGAAAACAACTCTTCTGGATGTTCTTTCTGGAAGAAAAACTAGTGGCACTGTCGAAGGAGAAATTAAAATCGGAGGGTATCCTAGAGTTCAAGAGACATTTGCTAGGATTTCGGGTTACTGTGAGCAAACTGACATACATTCTCCCCAACTTACAGTAGAAGAATCAGTTTTATATTCTGCTTGGCTGCGTTTGCATCCTCAGATTGATTCAAAAACTAAATATGTAAGACGTATATCGGTAGAAGTCAAGGTTTGCATCCATTTCATTTCTATCATTTAAATTAAATTGCTTTGGCATGTCTTCATAGGAATTTGCAAAAGAAGTCCTTGAGACAATTGAGCTTGATGGAATCAAAGATGCATTGGTTGGCATGCCCGGTGTTAGTGGTCTATCAACTGAGCAACGTAAGCGGCTCACAATAGCTGTGGAGCTTGTCGCTAACCCCTCTATTGTTTTCATGGATGAACCAACATCTGGATTAGATGCAAGAGCAGCTGCAATTGTCATGCGGGCTGTGAAGAATGTGGTTGATACAGGAAGAACAATTGTCTGCACCATCCACCAACCAAGTATTGACATATTTGAAGCATTTGATGAGGTAGTAAAACTACTAATCAACTATTTCAAGGGAAAATTTGGAACCGAAAAGTTAATTTTGGTACTGAATTTTAGTTAGTTACTTGGCTTAGGAAATTACCTAAAGCATTTGACGATGTCGATTTAATTTCGGATCACTGCCAACTGCTTCATATTGGAATGTTCCAAGGACAGTAGTTAAATTAAGTTTGTCTACACCTGAGCGATAAAATTCCTACAGTTTGATGATGTTGGATGTGCCTTACCACCTAATCTTTCAGATCCATTCCTGTATTTAACAAATAACAGCAGTAGATTATATAGATATTAGAAAATGCAGTTTAAAAAACTTCTTTGATGCAATTTCATATTTGTGACTTAAATTTAAGGAGCTATTGTCCAACACCTCCTTTTGCATTCATTGTAGTTAATTCTTTTGAAGACTGGTGGACATATGATCTATTCTGGACCATTGGGTCGGGATTCAAGTAACATCATTGAATATTTTGAGGTTAGTTTGCGTAGCAATCTGCGCACCAGTTAATTTTTTTTTTACTTAATTCTTTTTTCTTTTTCTTTTTTAATCTTTCCTTATTATTTAGAATATGCTTCTTGCATCTAATTTTCTAGAAAATAAAGTATTGTTAATTAGTATTTCCATTTAACCATGTTTCTTTAACAGGGTATCTCAGGCGTGCCAAAGATCAGAAATAATTACAATCCAGCAACATGGATGTTAGAGGTCACTTCTGCGTCCGCGGAAGCTGAACTTCGTGTAGATTTTGCCCAGATATACAAGAATTCTGCTTTATATGAGTGAGTTAACTTCCAATCACTTCTATCATATGAACAATGAAGATGTTAACCATCTGCATGCTAACAGTCACATTATGTCTTCCAGTACAATCACATTCGTCGATACATTAAAACAGGCTGCTCGCCTGGTAGAGAACTTGTAAAATGTTCAATCTAATGCCTTAGGGCCACTGATTTGGCAAACTGTGGTTTTAGAACGACCATATTGTTCTTATATTATAGTCCTCTTTTTCTTCTGTTATATTTACTGACAAACATGCTAAATTTTTCTTTTGCGCTATATATCTAATAAAATCAACTTAACATTTGGCCTGTACATGACTCTTCTTCTGTTATTTTGACTATAGGAACAATAAAGATCTTGTAAAGAGGTTGAGTGATCCACCTCCTGGTTTAAAGGAGTTGCATTTCCCAACTCGCTTTCCACAAAATGGTTGGGGACAGTTCAAGTCCTGCCTATGGAAACAGCACTGGTCTTATTGGAGAAGTCCTTCATACAACTTGATGCGCTCCATGCATACGCTTATTGCATCTTTGCTTTTTGGTGTGCTGTTTTGGGATAAAGGGAAGAAAATGTAAGTAAATTTAGTTGATCTAAGGTCTGCTTATATGATAAGTTATATTAGTACCTTTCAGATATAGTCAATATCTATTGCTCCTGCTTGAGGCAGTGGATTCGAAGTAATTGTTCAAAGCAATCACTGGTCCCTGACTTCACTCTGGAATGCTTTCCAGCACCATACAGTTAGAAATAATGTAGAATGACACTCGGAAATGAAGCATACGCCAAGTCCAAAGGAAGCATATTGTCATTTCGCTGGTCACATATGGGAAACATCTTTTTCCAGGATTGATGCATTAGTATCTAATATATTGCATAATTTAAATTTAAAAGTTTCTAGTTAGTTCTATAATCTGTTAGATTCGGTGATTCACAAGTAAGATTCTTTGAAAAACTTCCTTCAGATTAATGCAGGTCTGACATTTCACTCACTGAATGATAGAAAGTGTTTTTTTTTTTTTTTTTTACTGTTTCTTAGACAAAAAATGACCACAAAATGCAGTCTATGGATCCATTGAACACTAACGACTACATCTGTAGGTTCTCGGTTTATGTTATTTTGCTATTGGAGGCACTTCTACAGAAGTCTTAACACTGTTCTCCATTTTTGACAGAAATAACCAGCAGAGTTTGTTCAATACATTTGGTTCAATGTTCACTGCTGTGATATTCTTGGGCATAAATAACTCCTCATCTGTTTTACCCTATGTGACAACAGAGCGATCTGTTGTGTATCGGGAAAGATTTGCTGGGATGTATGCTTCATGGGCTTATGCACTTGCACAGGTATTTCCAGGGAACTTGTTTAGTGATATACTTGATTTGGTCAAAATTGGATCAATAATTGACCTCACGAATAATTTAAAAGCTTGACAAGGTCAAGCTGAATTGTTATCTTGCCGAGGGTTCTTGATTGACATTCAGAAAATAAATACAGTAGTGCTTTATGGAGTGAATAATTCTATGTAGGAACGCCGTCCTCTAGACAGCAGCTTAGCTGTGCTATGATTTTTCACAATTTCTTAAAGCAAGTTGAGGATCAACTTTGCAATCCATTTCTCTTTCTCCATCCTCTCTTCACTCACCAGTACAGGGGCACGGGGTAGCACCTTCCGTACCAGCAGCTTGAGACTTAAAGCCACCCAAACACACCCACTCTAATACCATTTGAGCTAAGACTTCCGACGTCCCTCTCAGTTTGAAGCATTTAAAATAAATATCAAACAATTTTTTAAGAGCTTTATTTTATTAGTACTTCCTGCTTAAATGTGTCCTGATTTTGTAGGTGACAATTGAGATTCCCTATCTCTTTGCCCAGGCACTTTCATTTGTGATCATCACGTACCCAATGATCGGGTATCACTGGTCAGCTTACAAGGTTTTCTGGTACTTTTATACCATGTTATGTACATTGATGTGCTTCACTTATCTTGGAATGCTTCTTGTTGCAATGACACCGAACTTTCCAGTAGCTGCAATTCTACAGTCAACCTTTTACACAATGTTCAACTTGTTTGCTGGATTTCTGATTCCTCATCCGGTAAGCCATTAATCTTTGCTTGGTATAGGATCTTCCCCGGATTATGCTCAAGTCTACTAAACTTTTAGATTAACATTGATCTAGCTTAATTTGTGGTGATAATAGAGCAAGTAAAAAGCCTTTGTGCAGTGGTGGTTTGGTTACTTTTCTTTACCAGTTTACAAGCAAGAACAAAAACTCAGGACATAGGGAACTCATTCAAAGAAAAGCTTGCAAAAAAATTTTTTATGGAAAATTCTGTCCTTCATTTTTTTCCCTTTCGATCATCATCATCCTTACCTTAATCCCATAAGAATGGGGCCGACCACATGAATTCTCTTTTTCCATTCTATTCTATTACAGGCCATTTCTCCTCTAATATCTAACTTTTAAAAATCATTTTCAACGATTCCATCCCATGTTAATTCCAGGTACCCTCTCTGCCTCTTACTCTCTATGCAAATTAACCTTCCTCTTCTCACCAGTGCATCTATCTGTCTTCGGTTTATGTGTCCATACAAGCTAAGTCTACTCTTTCTAATCTTATCACTTATAGGTGCCGTAACTAATTTCTTTCTCACATTTTGGTTTGTAACCCTATCTCTTCTAGTGACTTTTAACACCCAAAAAATTTATTTAATTATATTGGTCCCACTGTCGCGGGCACCTGGAAAAGGAGGACTCAAGTCAAGCCTAACCGTTGATGTATCACAAAGTGCTGCTCTGAAACTTGAACTAACACAATGGCACTGATATTGAGGTCTTAAACTGCTGACCAGGCAAAGGCCTTTTGTTTATTTTTTTTCTTTTCCTCCGGTTATTAATGAACCTTCTCAAGGGTAATGATGTGGACAATAGGCTAGTGATTGAACTTTGTAGCACATGATTCAGTGACTTCGAATTCCAAGTTGATTTGTGTGGCTTGATTATATATATTTGCAAGTTTGTTTCAGAAAGAGTTTAGAATGAAGAAATTATATGCACAAATTATACATAGATAATGGATGAAAAGATAAAGATATTATTCTCTATGAACTAAAAATTTGAACTTCTTGATGACAAGAAGATTATTACATATAAGACTGTAAAACTGAGCTAACTTAAAATGGTTGTAAAACTTTCCCTAGATTGCAGGGTGTTGCCAAACAACAATTAATAGACTGTAAAAATTCTTTGGGCTTGCTTGGCTTGGTTCAATTTTCTGAAAAAGTTTGTTTTCATAGAACAGTCTTTTATTGTTCTCTGAAAACTGTTCTCTATTTTCTGAGTTTTTGAGAACTGTTTTTAGAGTTACAAACCAAACAGGTAGGTTTTTGGAACTGCAACTGTCTGTGTTGAGAAACTAACACAATTATGATTTTTTTTTTTTTTTTTCCCACTTGCAGCAAATTCCGAAGTGGTGGATTTGGTTGTATTATCTATGCCCTACATCTTGGTCACTAAATGGTTTGCTAAATTCCCAGTATGGAGACATAGACAAGGAGATTATGGTGTTTGGAGAAAGCAAAACTGTTGCAGCATTTTTAAAAGATTACTTTGGATTTCACCATGATCAATTACCTATAGTTGCTGTTGTTCTCATTGTGTACCCCATAATTCTTGCTTCTCTGTTTGCTTACTTTATAGGAAAGCTTAACTTCCAGAGGAGATGAATGTTGTATAGTTGGTAACTGGTTTGCAATTTTGATGATTAGATACTATCTTCTCCAGCAATTTGACTGCCAATTTGGATTAACTGGACAAATTAGTCCAACCAGCATCTTTAAAATTTTGTTTACATATTGTTTTTTGTTAATCATCTATGGTGTCATTTGGCTTCTCTCTTTTATATTTTTCTCTTCAAGGGCAGGATTAGGATAACAACGGAACGGGTTTGGAGAGGGGACCCCAACCCACTACCGACATAACTCTCCCATCCCGTTCAAAAACTGTTTACTAAATTGGTCGGGCCGAGGCGGGGGATAGGTTTAGTATAATATTTTTATAATTATAATACGAATTTAACGAAAGTAAATAATGAAACAAATTTTCAATTAGGTAATAATTCATTCACTTATTGCTGATAAAGAGCAAGATTCAACTTTTCAATTCGAACTCAAAACTTAATATTATTATAATAATATCAAAATAATACATAAAAATTCACAAATAAGAATAATACAAAACAAAAGTATATTTAGTGTGGAATATGATAATTACTCCCTCCGACCCTTTTTAATTGTCCACCTCGTATACTGTGACTCACAACGTCCCCTTTGTGGTGGTAAATTATACTTTTATCTTTATATTAAAAAAAACATTAAGTACTATCTCCATCCCTTTTTAATTGTCCACCTCTTATACTGTGACTCACAACGTCCCGTTTAACGAGGTGGACAATTAAAAAGGAATGGAGATAGTACTTAATGTTTTTTTTAATATAAAGATAAAAGTATAATTTACCACCACAAACGGGACGGGGCAAGGTGACATTTCCCCATAATAGTCTCATAATCGTCCGGGTTAACCTCCTATTTTCGCCTCAAATCATTTATCCACCCCTATAATTGTTCTAAACGGGATAGGGTGGGATGGTTACTTGACAAGGTACAGAGTGTTTTGTCACAAAGAATACTAATGCGTCTTTAGTCAAATTGAACGAAAATCCATATATTGAGAGATTGCACTTTTATAGAATGATTTGAATTCAGTACAACCCTAACCTATGAGTACTTCACATGAATCCATAATAATTTTTCTTGAAAAATATTTACTAAAATAAATAAGAAAAAGAGGGACATTACAACAGTTGATTTGAAAAAAAAAAAAAAAAAAAAAAAAAAAAAAAAAATCTAAGCAAGTAAGAATGTTAATTGTGTCAAAAAAATTTACACTCGTCTGCCTTGAGATTTGCCAATATTAAAGGAACCTCCCACTCTTGGATTGGTAATAACACTAGACCTAACGAATGAATAATTTTGAAATCCAATTAGCCCTTTCGATATTTGAAAAGACATTTGTACCACTACCCTTGTTTTATACAGTAACTCAAAGTCTCAAAACTTCCCAAAAATACACGCACATGTACACTATGATATATCAGGCTGATGCTTCAATACACAGTGACACACGCTTAATCGAGCTCCCTCTCCCTTGTTTCCGCCATTGAAGCCTTTTAAGCGCTCTCTCTCTCATTCGAAGAATCGAATATGTTGGCTCACCGGCGATCAATTCTCCGTTCAAGCTCCACCGCTTATTCTCTCTCCACCTCCACCGTCGACCCCCACCACCTCTCCACCGTCCAATCCAAAGACCAGCTCCTCAAATCCTACACAGTCACTCCCCCAATCCAACCCTGGCCCCAACGCCTCTATCCCAAACGCCTCGTCTCCATCATCACCCGCCAGCAAAACCTCGACCTCGCCCTCCAAATCTTCGACCACGCCGGAAAATATCACCCCCGCTTTCAGCACAATTACGACACCTACAACGCCATCATCCACAAGCTCGCTCGCGCTCGCGCCTTCGAACCCATGGAAACCCTAATCGCCCAGCTCCACAGATCCAACATCAAATGCGGCGAGAACCTGTTCATCGGCGTCATCCGAAACTACGGCATCGCCAGTCGCCCCAAGCAAGCACTCCGTGCGTTCTTGCGCATCAAAGACTTCGTCGGCGTCCAACGATCCGTAAGGTCATTCAACACTCTCTTGAACGCTTTAATTCAAAACAAACGATACCATTTGGTGCACACTTTGTTCAAGAATTGCCGCGAAAAGCTTGATATTGTACCCAATGTGTTTACAGCTAACATTCTTATCAAGGCTTTGTGTAAAAGCAACGATATTGATGGGGCATTTAGGGTTTTAGATGAAATGCCCTCTATGGGAATGATACCTAATGTGGTTACCTATACCACTATATTAGGTGGTTATGTTTCGCGGGGCGATATGCTTGGTGCCCGGAGGGTGTTTGGTGAAATTCTTGACAGAGGGTGGATTCCCGATGCAACAACTTATACGATATTGATGGATGGGTTTTGCAAACTGGGGCGGTTAATTGATGCCATTAAGGTGATGGACGATATGGAGGAGAACGGGGTTGAGCCGAATGATGTCACTTACGGAGTGATGATTGAAGCTTATTGTCGAGAAAACAAGTCCGGCGAAGCACTTAACTTGCTTGATGATATGCTTGAGAAGAAATATGTACCAAGTTCTGCACTTTGTTGTAAGGTAATTGATGCTTTGTGTGAACAAGGAAAGGTTGAGGATGCTTGCGATTTGTGGAAGAAGCTTTTGAAGAAGAATTGTACACCTGATAATGCCATATCGAGCACTCTCATACATTGGCTTTGCAAGAAGGGGAAAATATGGGAAGCAAGGAAACTATTTGACGAGTTTGAGAGGGGTTCAATTCCTAGTGTGTTGACGTACAACACACTGATTGCAGGAATGTGCGACAGAGGGGAGTTGCATGAAGCGGGGAGGCTATGGGATGACATGGTGGAGAAGGGATGCATTCCTAATGCTTTTACTTATAACATGTTGATCAAGGGATTTTGTAAAGTTGGTAATGCAAGGGAGGGAATCAGAATTCTAGAGGAGATGTTTGATAAGGGCTGTATTCCAAACAAATCCACTTATTCTATCTTGATTGAGGGGCTTTGTGATTTGGGGATAGAAGAAGTTATTAAGGTACTCTCAATTGCAGCTTCAAGTGCAGAAGGAATTGATTCTGATTCTTGGGGTGTTTTTATAGCCAAAGTAGTCAGCAATCTTGATAGTGGGGGAGTTAGTATTGATAGAATATTGTTGGAGAATGCCACTTCGAGATCCATTCTTTAAGATCCTTAATGGTCAAACCATAAAATGGTCAGATGTGGATGTTCTGAGCTATAGCAGATATTGTAAGATTGATATGCCAGAATTGCCTTTATCTCTGCATAAACACCAAGTCTTCAGAGGGTTTTTGAAGGGAGCTGGTCAGAGGGCAAATGTTTGCCTCATTTAACATTCTACTCCCTCAAACCTCTTATTTCTTTGAGATGCATTTCGTTCAATTTATGAAACATAGGAGCAAATAAAGAATAACAGGGGAAATGGTAGGGTTGCTGGACTGTTGTTACTGGTTGCAAACAAGGTCGTTGTTGGGCCATGATATGCAAGTCAGGTAATGATTGAATTGGTTATAGCTTAGTCATTCAGAACCTCCTTAGACAAAACAATGGGTATAACACATTTTTGGTATTTGAAGGAGATGACTGATCAACTCCAACAATGGTGATAAACAGTGAAGACACGGCTTCACATATATTCAATGGTGAAGCATCCCCAAGCAACCAACAAGCAAAGTATTCTCAAGTAAGCAAAAAAATTATTTATTTATTTATTTTTGTTCAAATACTGAGACAAATACATCCAAGTACCTTACTGAAGTGGATCCGCAGTATCAGATAGTTATAAGTTGTTGAATACCTAACCCTGATTTTTAGAAAAAGGAAAAGGCTTCTAATGACAGTGTGACACCATATTGTTTGATTTTTCGCCTAGTAGAGAACCCGTAAAATGTTCAGTTTAATGCCTTAGGGCCACTGATATGGAAACCACCTATTCATTATAAAAAGGAAGACATTGGGCATTCAGAAAGAAATAACTGCTGTTTGTTGCATTAAGCAAACCATGGTTTTAAAAGACTCTATTATCTTTGCACTAGAGCGTTTTATTGTTTTTCAGAAAGGGGTAGCTCAACAACCTACTATCGCAGAAGCTTTTGTTTTTGGTAACTGAGTAATGCTTATATTATAGTCCTCTTCTTTTTCTTAGTTAGGTGATGGTGGTGACCATTAAGTCACCCACTATATCATTGTGGCAAAGACTTAAAGGTAGTTAACTGTAATATAGATCAATTCAAATAGGACTGGATTGCAGTTAGATGTGATGAAATTATTCCAAATAGGTTGTGTGTGAAATCTTTTGTGCTTTGCTGCTATATTCGAGCCATTTTATACATAAGATGTCAATCAGTCTAGAGTTTGAGAGTGATGTACTATATATATATATATATAGTACATCACTCTCAAACTCTAGACTGATTGACATCATATATATATATATATATATATATATATATATATATATATATATCCTATTTGGGCAAGCTTTTCTTGACTAAATAACCGTTATTCCTAGATCTTTGGATTCTACTTCAAACTAAGCAACTGACGGGGCTTTGTTCTTTGTCGGTTTCGGGGGGTGTTGTGAAACTCCTGCCGATCCGATTCCTTTCCCTATAGATCGAAAGAGCTGCAGGCAGTCATCCTCTTAGAATAATTCAAGGCGACGCCCAGGAGACAGAGACGAGGTGACGGGATATAGACTAGAAAGAGCGGCTATCTGTCATCAACCAAAAATTTTCATTAAGTATCTACTCTTAGCTCATACTTGAGGTTTAATATTGCATCTTTAAATAAAAAATTTCAATCAGTTAATTTAATTCTAGATGAGTTCGTATTGGCTAGTTGCCTTAATCCTTAGCTGCTAGTATAAAAAATGACCCCTGTATAAGGCTTGCTGCTGCTCAATACTTTGTGCATTTAGAGTGCATTTAATTTCTACGATTGACTAATGGAGGACCTTTTTACAGTGGTATGACTTATTATTCTCCACTGAACAAGACCAAAGTGAGAAAGCCCGTTGTTTTCCATAAAGTTGTTGTTTGTGCTGTATATCTAATAAATCATCTTGACATTTGGCCTGTACATGACTCTTTTTCGGTTATTCTGACTATAGGACCAATAAAGAGCTTGTAATAGCATTTCCCAGCCTGCTTTCTTTTTTTTCATTGACAAGAAACACGCTCACACCCAGTTTTTGCCCCTATGGGGACTTGAACCCTCGACCTTCTCCTTTGGAAGGCGAGGAAGTACCACTAGGCTACAACGCCTTTGGTCATTTCCCAACCCGCTTTCCACAAAATGGCTGGGGACAGTTCAAGTCCTGCCTATGGAAACAACATTGGCCTTATTGGAGAAGTCCTTCATACAACTTGATGGGCTCCATGCATGCTTTTTGCATCTTTTCATTTTGGTGTACTGTTTTGGGAATTGGGATCAGTGGAAGAAAATGTAAGTAAATTTAATTGAACTTAGATATGGTTATATGATAAGTTATATCAGAACTTGCCTTTCAGATGTAGTTGATATTATTTGGCTAAATGAACCTTCTATATAGACATTTTGCTCCTGCTTGAGGCAGCATTCTAAGTAATAGCTCGAAGCAATCACTGGTATCTGACTTCGCTCCAGCTTGCTTTCCAGCATCATACATTTAGGAAAAATGTAGTATGACACTCAGAAGTGAAGCATATACCAAGTGCAAGGGAGACATATTGTCATTTTGCTAGTCGCATATGGGAAACATCTTATTCCAGCACTGATGCATTATTATCTAATATATTGCATAATTTAAAATTTAAATGTTTCAAGTTAGTTTTATAACTGTTAGATTCGATGAATCACATGCATGATTCTTTGAAAAACTTTCTTCAGATTGATGCGGGTCTGACATTTCACTAATCAGTAATCACCGAATGATAGAAAGTGATTTTTTTTTCCAAATAAAAATAAATAAATAAATACTGTGGCTATGTACTGTTTCTTAGACAAGGAATGACCACAAAATGCAATCTATGGATCCATTGAACACTAATGACTACATCTGTAGGTTCTGGGTTTCTATTAATTTGTTATTGGAGTCACTTCTGCTGAAGTTGTTTTTCATTTTTGACAGAAATAACCAGCTTGGTTCAATGTTCACTGCTGTGATTTCTTGGGCATAAATAATTCCTCATCTGTTTTACCCTATGTAAAAACAGAGTGATTTGTTGTGTACCGGGAAAGATTTGCAGGGATGTATGCTTCATGTCTTAAGCACTTGCACAGGTATTTCCAAAGAACTTGTTCAGTGATATATTTGATTTGGTCAAAACTGGATCAATAATTGACCTCACAATTAATTTAAAAGCTTAAGTTGAATTGTCATCTTGCCGAGGATTCTTGGTGGACATTTAGAGAATAAATACAGTAGTGCGTTATGGAGTGAATGGTTCTATGTAGCAACACCTTTTCCTCTAGACAGCAGCTTAGCTGTACTATGATTTTTTCCAATTTCTTAAAGCACGTTGAGGAGCAAATTTGCAATCCATTTCTCCGTCTTCATCCTCTCTTCACTCGATGGTACAGGGGCATGGGGTACCCATTCTAATACCATCAGAGCTAAGTCTTCCGTTGACCCTATCAGTTTTCAAGCATCTAAAATAATACCAAACAAACATTTAAGAGATTTTTTTTATTAGTACTTCCTGCTTAAATGTGTGTACTGATTTTGTGGGTGACAATTGAGGTTCCCTATCTCTTTGCCCAGGCGCTTGCATTTGTGATTATCATATATACCCAATGATTGTCCATCACTGGTCAGCCTATATTATTTACATTGATGTACGCTCGCTCATCTTGGAATGCTGCTTGTTGCAATGACACCGCGCTTTCCAGTAGTTGCAATTCTACAATCAACCTTTTACACAGTGTTTAACTTGTTTGCTGGATTTCTGGTTCCTCAACCGGTGAGCCACTAAACTTCACTTGGTACAGTATCTTCCCTGGATTAGGCTTAAGCCTACTAAACTTTTAGATAATTAGCAGGGATCTGGCTTAAGTTGTGGTGATAATAGGGCAAATAAAAATCCTTTGTGCATTGGTGGTTCGATTAATATGGGGTGGTAGGAGGAGTGCACTAGGTATAAACTTAACCTTGGGCTTTATTTGTACAAAATGGCTTCTTTTTTACTAAAACTTACTTTACAAGTGTACCAAGCAATAACCCTATGCGAGAACATGTAAGAACAAAAACTCAGTACGAAAGGGAATTGTCTCTAGGAAAGCTTGAAAATTTTTCCTTATGGAAAAATCTTTTGATTTTTTTTCCCTTTCAATACTACTTTTAAATTAAAACAATGTTGTCACTCCAAAAAAAAAATAATGTTTATTCCTAAATAAAATTAAATAATTATGAAGGGACATTACCTAGTTCTGGTCGCACTACAGTGTGCATCCTTGATTTTTGGAACTGCAACTGTCTGTGTTGAGATACTAACACAATTATGTTGTTTTTTTTTCTCCGTTCCAGCTTGCAGCAAATTCCTAATTGGTGACTCTGGTTGTATTATGTATGCTTCACATCTTGGTCACTGAATGGTATGTATGCCTAACTCCCAGAACAGTATGGAGATATTGACAAGGAGATTGTGGTGTTTGGAGAAAACCAAAACTGTTGCAGCATTTCTAAGAGATTACCCATTGTTGCTGTTGTCATTGTGTACCCCATAATTATTGCTTCTGTATTTGTATACTGTATAGGAAAACTAAGAAGAGATTCTTCTAATTCCAAATCGCCGATTTAGCATTCCCAAACGCAACCAAATCGCCGATTCGGTACACTCCCGAGTGCAACATAAAGTTATTTGTTTGTAATATAGTGACTTGATCATTGCAGTAACTGGTTTACAACTTTTGATGATCAGATGCTATCTACTCCAGCAATTGGACTGCAAATTTGGATGTGTCATCTGCCCCCTTTTCATTTTTTTTTACTAATTGTTATTACGATTATTAATTGTTTTCTTGACAAACAAGAGTGTCGCCTACCCTCTTTAAGGGTGGGACTTGTCACCTGCACTCGTCCACAAGGTTGTAATTAAAAGAGCATGTGCACTCCTCTCTCCCTCTCTCTAAAGTAGTGTCATAGATTGCATCATCTCCAAAAAGACATTTTGATTGATTATTTTAGGACATTTTGATTGATTATTTATTGTAAAATACAAGTTGGGGGTTTTACTTTCTTATTTGTTGTATAAATGATCAATTAAAAACAGTACCTCTGGTAATTTACTACAACTCGGTGTAAAAATCAATTTTTATAAAAAAATAAGGATGGAGTAGTATATAATATTGGATACTGACGCAACTCAGAATATTTGTGAATATTTAATACTTGTTTGATATTTTGACCATGTAACACTTCTTAGATATGTCAAAATATATATTTTTTAATTTTTAAATATTATAATGTAGCTTTTACAACAATAATATTATAATTTGTATCCTCCAACTCAGAGAAAAATGGTAAAGAAGTGATTATCTCAATATCCCTAACCAAGTTACTTATCCGAAATGGTATATTTCAATTAACCTGATTATAAATCAAGAATTTACTATCACTAATGATGTTGCTTTAGTTGATATATTTCAATCAACTTGGTTATAAATCAAGAATTTCTTATCACTAATGATGTTGCTTTAGTTGATAGTGGTGCTTTAGTTAATAGTGGTACTGATATGAATTGTTTACAGGAAGGATTGGTTCCTACTCAATATTTTGAGAAACCCACTCAAGGACTTACCAGCACTAATGGTGGATTAAATATAAGCTTAATCATGTATATATTTGTAAACAAGGTATTTGTCTTCTTTCACCTTTTTACTTGTAAAAAATATGGCAAAGCAAGTTATATTAGGCACTCCTTTTTTAGCCTTGATTATGCCAATTAAGAAAATAGATTCTTAAGGAATATGTTCAATTTTACATGGTCAATCAATAATTTTTGAATTTTTGACCAAACCAGTAAATAAGCATATCAATGCTCTTAAAGATAATATTATCTTTAAAGAAAAATAACTGGATTATTTGCAAAAGGAAATATTTTACTTAGCAATAAATCAAAGATTGGTACAACCCACCGAGTAACAGAAAATTGAGTCAATAAGACAAAGTTTTCTAAAGGACGTATGCAGTTACGTTCCTAATGCTTTTTGGGATAGTACCATATGAAAAGGGGTTTAACGATACAATGATTCCATCCAAAACTAGTCCAAGCCAAATGAAGGTTGATTCTTTGGAACTTTGTAAAAAAGAAATTAGCTCTTTAATGGAAAAGAAGCTAGTTACAACTAGTTACACCCCGTGGAGTTGCAAAGTTTTTTATGTTAATAAAAATTCTGAAAAAGAACGAGGTATTCCTCGCTTGGTCATTGATTATAGACCGCTTAATCATGCCTTTAGTTGGATTAGATATCCAATTCCAAATAAAAATGATCTTTTAGACATATTACAATCTGCTGTAATTTTTTCTAAATTTGATCTCAAAACTGGATATTACCAGGTACAAATCAAAGAAGAAGACAGGTATAAAACTGTTTTTTGTGTACCTTTTGGTCATTATGAATGGACAGTAATGCCCTTTGGGCTTAAAAATGCTCCTTCAGAATTTCAACATATATTGAATGACATTTTTAACCTTTATACTGAATTTTCTATTGTTTATATTGATTATATATTAATATTTTCAAAATCAATTGATCAGCATTATAAACATTTGAAAATTTTCAAGGAAGTTATTTACATAAGTGGTTTAGCGGTTTCTGCCCTAAAGATATTTCTTATACAGGTAAAATTTTTGGGTTATGATATATGTGATGGAAAAATTAACCCATTAACTGCAGTATTGAGTTTGGATCTAAATTTCCTAATTAAATTAAAGATAAGACTCAACTTCAAAGATTTCTTGGTAATTTAAATTGCATCAGTAATCACTACAAAAATCTTGCATAGGATACAGCAATTTTGTATAAAAGGCTGGGAAAATCTCCTCCGCCATGTACTTTGGAACATACCAAAGTAGTACAGAAGATTAAATTAAGAGCTAAACAGATTCCTTGTTTATCTTTAGCTAATTCTTCTTGGTTCAAAATTGTTGAAATAGATGTATCTATTATTGGATATGGTGGTATTCTTAAACAAAAGAATCCCAATATCGGAACAGAAGAATTAATTCGTTTTACTTCTCAAACTTGGAAAAATGCACAATTAAATTATTCAATTATCAAGAAAGAAATTCTTTCTAATTAAATGCATTTATAAATTCCAAGATGATTTATTAAATCAGAAATTCTTGTTACGCATTGATTGAAGTATTGCTGAACAAGTACTGAAAAAATATGTAAAGAATTTAGCTTCCAAATAGATTTTTGCTGGATGGCAAGCAGATTTATCTACTTTTGATTTTACAATTGAGTATATTAAAGGCACTCTAATTCTTTACCTGACTTTTTAACTCGTGAATTTTTACAAGGTTCATGAGACAACTCAATCGAGGGCAAGACCGTGGAAAAGCAAAGGCAAAAGCGGTAATATCGCTTGAGGATGAACAATATCCAGCATTGGAGCATTTGTCTGATTTGCTCCAAACACCAAATAAAGCGGTGGGCTCAGAACAGAATTTTTTTAAATTTTATTTTTTAAAAAAAAGTATTGAGATATATACCAAGATTTATTTTAGGTTAAATTGTAATTACCTCCCCTGAGGTTTGGATTAATTACAACTAAACTTGAGGTTTATCATTTTTTTGCAAAGTGTCCCTTTGAGTGTTGTCATTTTTTGCAAAGACCTCCCCTTGTACAAAATTCAATCATTTTTGTCATAAAATTTGGTTGAAGTAACTAAAATGCCCATCAACTAAGTATAAATAGACTATATTACCCTTATAATGTTATGAAAGAACCAAAAAAATTATGCATAAGTAGATCAAACTACCCCCTAATTAGGATTTTTTTTTCATAATACTTCCCCGTCCCATAATAAGTGTCATATATAAAAATCCATGACACTTAGGTGCTGTTTGATAAAACTGAAAATAAAGTAGTGAAAATTTTAAGGACTGAATTTTAAGTGCTGAAGTTTTTAACTAGTAATTAAAAAATAAATATTTTTTGATATTTTTTTGAATTTTCAGTGTTCAGCATTCAGTGATAAATGATGTCCCACTCACTTAAAATTTTATCCAATTTTAAGTAACACTTACCGTTTTAAGTGGTATTCAAATTTCGTTATCAAACGCATTTAATTGAATAAGCGTTTAATCCATTCAGAATTAAGCAATGAATTGAATAATCAAACAGAACCTTAGAGCAACTCCAATGGGCTGCCAATCTCAAAATATAGCAAGTGAGTTTAACATGGGCTCTCCAATGAAATGTTAAATGGGCTGCCAAAATATAACTTTGCCAAATCTTGTGCCAAATATAATACAAAATATAGCTATTGTTATTGTTTCTGCCAAACTGAAATATATAGGTTTTGAACTTCTGATTCTTGTAGATTTTGTACTTTGTAGTTTGAAATATATTTTGTGTTTTGTTTAGAGTTATTAATAATATAATCAAATATATAATTTATATTTTATTTATTTTTAATGAGGCAAATAAGCTAAATAAAATACAAACACTCAAAATGGTTAATTTCACTAACACCCCTTCAGGTTTGGCCAAATATCACACTCAAATATCTTTCGAAAATAACTATCACTCACGTTACAAACTTTTATTCCGTTTTTCACTTACACCCCAGTCGTTAGTTGAACAGTTATGACACGATGTAAAATGATTTAAATACCCTTTGATTTTGTCAAACAACTATTTAACATAAATAATTATATTAAAAGACTAAAATATCCTCCAATTTATTGTAAATTTACAAATTATATATATATATACATATATATATATATATATATATATATATATATATACACACACACAGACATACATATACATATATTCAAGTCTGTGCATTCCCCTTTCTATGAAAATAGTTAACCAACCACTCCTAATTCAAATCTTTTAAGAGTTAGGTAAACCAGTGTTGACTCCTACTCTAAGTCCAGGACACGTCCAACTGATCCTCACGCGAGAGATTCCAGCAAGAAGCGTTAAAATCTACACCACCAAAAACTCCGTCTCGTCCTACAGTTCAGAAGTAAATCCCGTGCCAATGGAGTATACGAGACCTAAAGTCATTTCACTTTCAAGGGCATACAACTGTTTTTCTTTTGCTTATGACTTGGAAGATCTCCTTTCACCGCTCTTCGTCGTCCATTTGTATACACAAATTTTGTAAGTCTGCAATAGAAACAAAACATGGAGCAAATAATATAATTTTATTAATTTGAAAAATTGAGGTACAATCCTCTGTAATATTCTTTACAAAAGAAAGAACTGGTCCTCTGATTAAATCTATTTTTTTTTGTTGGTTGGTTGGATTCAAGGGCTGCACAGGCTTGATCTTGAATTACCGTGAAATTTGATGAAGAACGGCATGTCTTTGGCTATGCTTGTTGTTGATCACCGTGGAATTTAATAAAGAACGGCACGTCTTTGGCTGTGCTTGTTGTTGATCACCGTGGAATTTGGTGAAGAACGGCACGTCTTTGGCTGTGCTTGTTGTTGATCACCATGGAATTTGGTGAAGAACGGCACCATTTGATGTTTAGTGTTCTTCGCTTTTGGGTTTGGATGTTGAGAATGAGAGTTTTTGTATTTTTCTCTGGAATTCTAGATTTCTGAATTCTGACTTTGTGTGTACCCCTTCTCCCTTCCTCCAGGCCTCTATTTATAGGTTTCTTGGATCCATAGGATGATGACACGTGTCCTCTCTGATAAGAAAATTATCATAACTGGGCCGGGCCGGATATATTATGATAATTATCCTTAAAAATAATTATTCCAAATATATTTTATTAGGAATAATTATTCTTTTTATTTAACCATCTGAACTGAGCTTAATTAAATAATTTAAGTGGACCAAATTTAGGCCAATTAAATAACTTAATTAGACATTAGGCCCATATTTAATAGATCCATTTGTCCAAATCAAAGTCCACTAAAATTTTAGTGTTTACACCATCAAAAAATAACCTCTCAACGAGTTTATCTGCCTAATTTCTGGGTCTTTAATGGTCGACCTGTCATTATCTCCTCTGGCCAAACCTTCGAGCGTAACTTTAGGGTTCAAACCCATTCTCTCTGACGGCTCTACCCCTGATTTTTCCAATCTCATTCCCAATCTCGCCCTCAAATCCATCATCCTCAACTGATGTGACACTTTTCTCTTAAACCCTCCCAAACTCATCGATCTTTAATCCGCAAAGAAGCTCGCTCGCAAATTATTGGCCTCATAGCAAACCATCTATAACGAAAAGAACAACCAGTTGATTAAAAGGGTATGTTGCAGAGAATGGTAACGATGGTGTCAAGAAGTTCACTCACATCGAGTCCGAGTTGACTCGGCGACGGACTTACTTCACTTCCAGCTCCAGCTCGAACGAATCTGTGGCCACCACCACTCCTCTGCCGCTATCCACTCGACCTTCTTGTTATTATACTTGTTCTTCTTCTTCTTTCTCCGGATATCAAAATCCTTAGCCTTAATTGCTCTGAAAAAGAAACAATCAATCATTCCACTCAAGAGTTCTCAAGTATTCGAACAAGGAAAGGTTGTGATATAATTGTAAATTTGTAGTGTATTTAGGGGTATTGTAATCTTTTTATTTAATTTTTTTTTAGGTTAGAGAGCACTTTTAACTAAGTCAAAGAGTATTTAGGGATAAAATTGTCTTTTACAAAATTTTAACGGAATCTGTGATGAAAAAGTGAAAATGGACCTAGGTAATAATTATTTTGAAAAGATATTTGAGAGTGATATTTGACCAAATCTCAAGAATTGTCAGTTAAATTAACTAAAAAAATAATTGTTGAAAATTGATAATTGAAAATGGTAATTAAATAATAGTAATTGTGTAAAAAAAATATTTTAGATGAAATACATTAATAAAACAAAATTGCTAAAAATATTTTGACAATATAAGGCCTCTGGAAATATAAAATTGACATGCAAAAATGACATTTTACATATGATCTTATTATGAAGGGAGGGACTACTCAATTAATACCTTTAAAACAAAGGCCACCACCGCTCCATTGGCAGCCACCTTCACTGCAAACAAACCCACATTGAAACCAAACCTACAATTCGAAAACTTCGTGCTCGCCGTCCATGGCTATCTTTGGTATCAACCACAACGACCCATCAAAGACCGATTGAACGAAATTCCGGCATCGGCCTAGAATGAATCGAAGACCGATCGAAGGATGTAATCATCAGTAACGGCGATAATTTGAGCAGCGTAGAGGTGGAATCGGCTCTGTATAAGCACCCGGCGGTGAGTGAACGACGATTGGTTTCCCGGTGAAGTCAAAACACGTCAAGTATGGTGTCTTAGCTGGTGTTTGGGTTTCCGATTGAACCAAACCCGCACCCCTCGCCCAAACCCTAGAAAAAAATTTCACAAATCACCGGAAACACAAGTTCAGATTTTATTTTGTGAAGGGAAAACGGGTGGCGGCAGACAATCGCACCAAACCCAGTCCTCAATTGGCCGCCGCAAACACCGGTGACCGATATGCAAACACGTCCGGAGCTCCATTTCCGAGGGCTAAGAAAGTCACAACACCCCATACTGGGGGACAAATTGAGATGAGCTGAGAGCTTAGTTACAACAATAGAGAAATGGAGAGAGAAGTAGTTGAGGCAGCCATTGGAGTCGTCGAAGCAGTGGAGGAGAGAGCAGCGTCGGTGAGGAGGTGTTTGGATAGGAACTGACAGCGCCATTGACGAAATCTTCAGCCCAATCTATAAATAGACAATTCAAAGTCGTAACCAGCAGAGAGTTGATTTTTTTATAAATAAAAAATAATAATAATAATTTTGAAAAAAAAAAAAAACTACTGAAGCAAGCAATTAAAGCATTTTTTGTTGGAAATGGGGCATTAAAAACATAAACTTTGGATAAGATTTGAAATAGATTCCGCTACTAATTTTTTACGGCGGATCTCTAGACAAGCACTTTTCTCTCCGCAAGGAGATAAACGTGGTATATTTACTTTCTGAAATTCGTTTCTGAATGAAAGTGTTTTAATAAGCCTAAATAGGTATGCAAAATGTGGGAAGTGTTTGTCCCACATGGAAAAAATGTTGAAACAAATTGAAATTTAAATAAGCTGAGTTTAGGATTTGGGCTTGGGCTTGGGCCTAATTGTAAAGTCCAGATTATTCTTTTTTGGAATTTTAGATTGGGCCTAATTTTGGGCTGGGCCTATTTAAATGGGTTTTACAAATGAGTAGGTTTTTTTGGGTGGTTGGTTTTTTGAATTAAAAAAATTACTTTTTAGTTTTTCTAAAAGGTTACACCTTTTAAATTAAAAAAACCATATTTTAGTTTTTCTAAAGGGTTACACCTTTTAAATTAAAAAACCACTTTTTAGTTTTTTCAAAAGGTTACACCTTTTTTCGAACCATCATGACCCATGGTTGCACCCATTCGAAAAGACACATTGCAACCTATTGGAATGGATGTGTCTATTGGTGAACAGACACCATGTGAACCATTGCAACCTATTGGAATGGATGTGTCTAGTGGTGAATAGACACCATGTGAACCATTGCAACCTATTGCAATGGTTGTGTCCAATGATGAAAAGACGCACTCAATGGTTGTGTCCAATGATGAAAAGACGCACTCCATTCGAAAAGGCATTTCTGTTTCTATAAATACCCCCCTTTGGATCATTTGCAATTAATTCATTTTCATTTTCTTCTATCTCCCTCTCTAGACTAGAACCCAACCCAAGTGGGTTCAAACCTTAGGTTAAGTGGTTCGAGCCACTTCGATCCTAATCCAATTTCATCAAGCTATATTAAGATTGGTCTGAACCATTTGGTTCGGATTACACCCAATTCAGCATTTATATAGTATATAGATGCATTTTTGAGTTAGAGAGAGTATTACACGAAGGAGGTTCGCCGTATCCACGAGTTTGTAGTGCTGCTACTGGTGGATGTAGACCGTGACGCCACTGAGTCCGTTAGCACCATAGCGGGGCAAATCTGTCTTAAGGACATAGTATCCAATACTAGCCTCGGTCCAGGTTCATTCCTTGCATATTATTATTATTTTATTGCTTTATTTTGTATATTTAATTAAATATAGAGTTGCATATTTAATTAATGATTTATTAGCATATTGTTAATTATCTCATGACATATTAGTATAAAGGTTGTTATATCTTAAAAGTCACATTAAGCATATATTTTACCAACAATCTTAAGACAGATTCCTTCCTTGCGTAGATTTTATTATATGTTTCTATTTAAGATATAAACAAGTAGATATTATACTAATAGTTGAGATATGATAAAATAATGTTATATACATTATTATATGATAATATGTTAAATATTAATGCATTCAATATTATGTGAAATTGAAGCATGTTATATAAGTGGATTATTGAATTATTCAATATTGGTTGAATTATTTACTTTTGTAATATGATATTATGAAGTATATGACATTACCTTAAACATGTATCAACTAGAGGTGAAAAAAGATACTTCGTTACTTTTATCATTGGTTGCACAAGATACCGTTATGTGTATTTGCCACGAAGCAAAGATGAAACCTTAGAAATGTGACACCATATGAATTATAAAAAATTCGAAGACCTTCTTATAAATTCTTTAAAATGTGGGGGTGTCTAACTAAGGTTGTACTTTCTCCTAAGAAAGTTAAAGTGAGACCTATAATGTGGCAACCTTGTGGGTGGGTGTGCCATGGGCGGGTGCAAGAGGCACTGACATGTTATCACATTGAGCAAGTTACAGGTGCACAGTCCCACACCACCTACGTAAGGGAAAGGTAAAGTGATTTTATGTAGTGGTGTTATCTCCAATTGGTACGAGGCTTTTTGAGATAAAATCCAATAATAAAATCGTGCGGGCTTGATCCCAAAGTGGACAATATCATACTATGTGATGGAGTGGATCGTTACATAAAACCTTTGATAGGTTATAACATCAGTGCATATCATTTTCTTGTAGGCTAGAACGTCTACATCTTTTGGTCCTAATTTTCTAGTATGTTTATTGGAGAATGAGCCACAAATCTTTTTTTTTTTCTTAAATTAATTATGTGATATAATTAATCATGTGATATAATATGAAACTATATTGTTATGCAAATTCAATATTATTTTTACAAAAGTTTATTATTTGAAATTATAATATTGAGATATGTGGTTGAATTACTTAGTGTGCGTAGTAATTTAATTTTACAATATAGCTTATTTAATGTGTGATATTATTAATTTTGTATGAGTTCATGACTGGTTTGTGTATTTAATACAACAGACAAAAATTGATTAGTCTAAGTATGTCAATTCTTCCAATAGTCAAGGGAGAAAGATCTATACTAGTGTCTAAGACACGTATAGCTGTGAATGGGCTAAATAAGAAAAGATTTTTCGATAACTCTAAAGAGTTTAATGTTATGGATACACTAAGCTAGTACACTGAGACAAGCTAAATCAAACTAGTTAACTCTAATGTACAATTTAGCTAAAAGCTAAAATGTTACTGAGTTGCAAACAAGGTAGCTTAGCTATAAGCTAAAATGATTAATGAGGTACACGAAACCTAAGAGGAAGATGGAAAATCTGTTAGTTGGTTCTAGCTCTCAACTTGATAGTAAAAAACACGAGGGTGATGAGTAGCTATTTTAGCCATAAGCTATTTGAGCTATTCATCATATCTGCTCATGTAGGAGGGAATAATACTACTTATAAAGTAGTAGTTTTTGAAGAATATTCTTTAAAACAAATTACTCTACTACCAAGGTAGACTACTTAGATAAGTATGTACTAAAATTATGAACTACTAGAATTGATAGCTAAACAAACTTAACTTCAAGCTAGCGGTAATAGCTAAAAATTGGGTGCTCATCATAACCTAGTAGTGAAATATGAGAATAGTGTACTTAATCTAAGCTAGTAATGATAGTTAAGAACTCACTTTTGACTAGTAATGATAGCTAAGAAGTGAGTGCTCACTCTGTGGTGATTGTATCCAAAGCTTAAATAATAAGATAATTATTTGCTTAAATGATTGAGTTATGTGATGTGTGACACATGAAAGGTTATAACATGTTAATATGACTGACTTAACATGAACCTAAACATGAATAACTCAATTTACAAATATAAAAGAAGTAAAAGCAAATATTAATTAGAACTCATTGTAATTAATATCTTTAGCATTAATTCACGGTAATGTCGGTGAATTATTATAAGAATATGCTAAAGATAAAGTGAGTACATATGCACTAGAGACTATTATATATGCTTGTTGAGAAGCGAATATGGAACCTTGAAAAGGTAGATGAGGTGAAGTATTTAATATATGGTACTTTCATAGTTGAAAAATCATAATAAATACATTAGAGATAAAATTTCAGGATTATCCCAAAGTTGTGGGGAGATATTATCCATAGATGAAATTTGTTACGAGTCACTCATCTTAACAGAAATACTTATAAATGTGGGGGGTTCCAAGTCCTAAGAGCTTTAGGATAGAACCAAAAATCATTTATATTATTATAACAATAGTACGTGCATATTATTTTCTACGAGGAAAATATTATGGAACAACTAGAAGAGTTCTTTTTTCAGTTGAAGTGCTGAGTTATTTGTTCCAGTTGAAAAGTCAAGTGTGTAAGCTTATAAGTCCTTGAATGGATTAAAGCTACTACCGAGACAATGACATAAATGTGATGCGTAAGTCATTGTATGCCTTAAAATATAAATGATATACTGATTGGTATATTTGATATGAAAGATTTAACATCTGATAATATAGTATATTCTCAATAGAGTGAGATTGAGATAATACTAGTTATGATAACAAAAGCCTAGTTAACTTTTGTAGATGTAAATCTCAAATATATATACTAACCAAAGTATATCATTGGTTGAGATTGCAAGGCAACTTAATAATTGTGTTTAATTGCACATTTTCAATCCAGGATCGGATCACTAAAAAACAATAAATTGGGTAAGTTGAGATACACCCTAAATCCAATATTGCATAGATCGAGGTATCTAACTAAATTGGAGGTGTAACAGTGATACAATCTGGATATGGGATATTAAAGACTTCAAATCCAATAGTGGATATGTCTTTTATATTAAAGATGTAGTTCTATGTTGTTAATATAACTCAAAGTTAGAAACTTTGAATAAATCAAATAGGGAAGTCAATAGATTTCACCTAGAGGATAATTCAAAGTAAGTCTACACCTGTGCCACTAAAGAAAATGATATTGATAACAATAAGCAATTTTAGAGCACAAAGTATACAGTTGCTCTCACCTGGAGAAATCTCTGCAGAGTGTAATATTTCTAAACGCAACCTTGTGGCCACATATAAAATTGAAGGTTGTACTAGAGAGCAATTGTACAGTTCATCGAGGGGAATGGGGTTTAAAGCCGAAAGCTAACGAGTCACCTTAATGGAAACCCAACCTAGTTGACTGGAGATCCCAAGATCTAGGTTCAAAGGGACAACAGAAATTCTGAGTGACTCACCAGAAGCACTAGGAAGATATAAATCTTCTACCCATTTCTATGATGAGACAGTGCTACCTACAGCGATGATCAGGATAAGCTACGCTTTTAATGACTCTTATACCTTGAAAATTCAAGTGGGGTTTGGTAGGATACTCTTAATAAGAAGTCACCTATGTGAGTGTGAAGTGGGGCCGCTTCTATGAGAACTATAAAGGCTAAGTTTTCTA